AATTTAAAACAATTAAGTATAAAAATCAGAAAAGAAAAATAAAGTAAAAAATATGTGGACAATTGGATGAGAGTCAAAATACATTAATAATCAAATCCAAGGGATATTGCGCGCTGTGTGTATCATGGTCATTAGTGAATAAAGCACTGATTTATTAATTAAATCAAATTTTCAAAAAAAAAAAAACAAGTGGCGCGCCTTCATTGGTTGGAAGATGACACATTGGTCATCTTCAACCTCCAGCCAACGTGAATTGCAGGTCTCTCAAACTGTAAAATCAGAAGTCCATACCTATGTCATTCGCTTCGTCTCTCCAAGACGAAGACAACCACACCTTCGCGACAAATTTATATAAATTGTAGCTCAAGCAATTTGGAAGGAATGTTTTGAAAAGGGATTTAAAAATTCATGATCAAAACTTGTTTTCAGATAAAAGTAAGTGTTCCAACTAGAACCAGGGCAATGAGAGCATCACAATGATATCAAAGTTTTGAAGAACTGATGAAGGAATCTACCTATTGAAGTTGAGTTGTAGAGCTCTGAAACTGGACTTCTATGAAGCAATATAGGGCACGATTCTTGAATGTAATTATATGGTTAGCTTCAGGGAAGATCAAGGAAGGTGAATTGATGGAAAAATGGATTAAAAAAGGCTTGAGAATAGATTTCGAATTAGCATAATTTTGAGTTATGGAGCAAGTTTGGCAGGGTGATTCTGGCTATCCAAGTTTGAGGAAATGAATGGGGAATGAACCTCTATTTATAGGGAATCAAATGGAAAGTTCAAGCGTGTGAAATGATGAAGTTTGGAGGGAAATCGTGTGAAGTTGCAAACAAGAAAAGTGTGACTTCTAATTTGATCAAAACTCATCCAAAACGCGCATTTTGTTGTGCTAATCAATTCTGGAACTTCACTAAACATGTTTAGAGGTAAAAACGCATGGAAAACTTGTGATTAGAAGCCAAAACAAAGACTTCAAATTCTGAATTATGGAGAAACTTCAGTTCCAAGTTACCAAGTTTAATCCAATCGTATTCTTAGCTCAAGGGGTCTTAAGGCATGATTCTTGATGCTTTAGAAAGATGAGGTTACAAGATTTGAAATGGAAAAAGAATGGAATCAAATGGATGCTTGAACTGAAAGTTTCATTGAGTAAATGTTGGGAAAAAAGAAGTTGACTTTCCATACTTAGAAATATTTCAACTTTTCCTTCAAAAGTGTCCTATAATATTTTGCATCCAAACATGGCCTTCCACTTGAAATTTGCTCTTGACAAAAAAATATGGCATCAAATAGACCTCTTGAATGAGATTTTGAAACTTGAACCATTCAAAATTTCCAAATATTTAGGGAGTTATGAGTTGTTGAAGTTGGCAAAAAATCATGAAATGACCTATAATCTTTTGCATCCTTAGGGAATCTTCCATCCATTTTATCACTTTGCACATAAAATAAGGCATAAAGTTAACATCCTCAAGATCATCAAGGAAAAAGAGTGGGCTCAAGGTGATAAAAATTGACCAAGTTATGATCATTTGAAGTCACACATGAGAAATTGGGGGTTCATCTGGAGGACTTGTAATCTTTCTTCATCATCAAGTTTCTTCCACATGAAAAATCTTTGAAACTTTTGAAGTGATTTGTTGATATCCTTTAAAGAGGATGATAGTTTTGGAATCACTAAAAAATACCAAAAGATGAGCAAGATATGCTTCTTTGAAGTTCAAAACCCTAGCTCCTAGATTAAGAAAATGCTTGGAAGAAACTTGACAATTTTGAACCACCTTCTTGTGCCAATACAAATGTTTTATAAATAGAAGTTGTTGAGGATAAAAATGAGAACTCATAGCCACCAATACCATTTCCATATCTTGAGAATTCAGAGAAATATACACTTGTGACCAATGGGAACAAAGTCTTGTCCAAGCATCACAACTTCTCCAATCAACCCCTTGTGCTTTTGAATCAATCTTGATAGCTTTTAAATGTGGTGAACCAAAATAACCTTGCCATGTCATTCCTTCCAAAACAAACCTAATGGTGAGGTTTGAACTTCTCAAGCTTTATTGACTAGGTCATGGAAATAAACTCATGAAACCATGGAGAAACTTGCTAAGCCTCATTGCCTTTACCTACATTATTAACAAGTAAGACAAACCAACATTTCATTTTATAATTAAAAGGAAAAAATAAGACAAAATATTCATGACCACAAAAGGAAACAAGTCAAGGTGCCTGGTGATTCCTCAAAGATCAAAGCTAAAGATAAGGAGGAAAACCAAAATCCCTAATGTGATCTTGTTGTGATTGAATCAACATGGTATGATTAATGGATATTAGGGGAAAAAGTGGGATACAACACATGGTCATCGCGACCAAGTGAAAAAGGGTAAATAAATCGGTTACGCCAACGGACAAAATGAAGTCTAGATTGGTTGGTGTTTTTGTACATTGAAAAAGGATTTTGCAACTTTATAGTGTCTTATGAGTTTGAAATAAAAAGAGGTTTTAGTTTTAATGCAAACGCCAAAGGAAAACCTAAGCAAAGGGGAAAGCATAGACAAGGGATGTCAAGCAATAGAAGCAAGCAAACATCCCATAGGAATAGGAAAAGGGACGGTAAAAACATCAACACCTAACAGTGATATCAAGTCATCAAGATAGGGTAGAAAGCGATAAAAAGATGGTAAAACATTAACACCTAACAATGATATCATGTCATCAAAGTAGGATGTAAAAGATAAGAAAGGAGGGAAAAACATCGATTAAACATACACCTAACAATGATATCAAGTCATCAAAGTAGGATAGAGAAGGATAAAATAGGGGTGATAGAATACCAACACCTAACAATGATATCATGTCATCAAAGTAGGTTGATAAGCGATAAAAAACATCACATAGTAAAGACCTAACAATGATATAATGTCATCAAAGTAGGATATTATCAATAAGAAACGATGGCGAAGCATCAGTCAAACATATACCTCACAATGGTATCGAGTCACCAAGGTAGGATATCAAAGGTAGAAAACGATGATATAACATCGAGCAAACATACACCTAACAATGGTATCGAGTCACCAAAGTAGGATAACAAAGATAGAAAACGATGATGAAACATCGATATATGTACACCTAACAATGGTATCAAGTCATCAAAGTAGGATAACAAAGATAGAAAACGATGATGAAACTTCAATATATGTACACCTAGCAATGGTATCGAGTCACCAAAGTAGGATAACAAATATAGAAAACGATGATGAAACATCGATATATGTACACGTAACAATGGTATCAAGTCACGAAAGTAGGATAACAAAGATAGAAAACGATGATGAAACATCGAAATATGTACACCGAAAAATGGTATCAAGTCACCAAAGTAGGATAACAAAGATAGTAAACGACGATGGAACATCGATCAAAACAAGTTCTAAAGGGGGGAAAAGCTAGCAAAAATAGCCCTAGAGTTGTCATGTAAAGTTGGTCCTATAGTTGGGGTCAAGAGGATTCTACCTAATGTTGGCATACATAGATTCAAGCCTAAGATATAATTCATTCAAACTTTAGAGAGAGTGAACTAAAATCCTAAGGGGAACATGTGATCACGAAATAGAAAGCAAACATACAAATCTTGAAGAGTATCCACTCACTCAAGTAGCACACACCTAACCAAGGTATCATGTCACCAAGGTAGGAAGGGAAGTGGGACCCTAACCAAGATATCATGTCATCAAGGTAGGATAAAGGGAGGCTCAACCAAGATATCGAGTCATCAAGTCAATCAAAGCGGGGGAATGAATAGCTCTTAACCATGATATCATGTCATCAAGGCAAGAAGAATAGGGGCTTCGACCTTTAACCGAGATATCGTGTCATCTAGGCAAGAGAAGAAAGAAAGTGAATCGTCATAGGTGACTAAACACCTAACCAAGATATCGTGTCATCGAGGTAGGCGATAAAAGACAATAATGAGATCACCATGGAGCATCAACATTTATAAATGCAAGCTAAAGAATAAAAAATTATAGGGGTTTATTACAAACCCTTTTCCACCTGACCGACTCGATAACATGAGTAGCATGGTTCATAGCATCAACATGGGAAATGACCTATGAATGACCTGGGGACTAGAAATGATGGGGGTCGATTGCGGACCCTCACTCCACCTTATGCCTTCTTTGAGGCTTTATCAATGGGAAATGGGAATTGGAATGTCTTCTTTGAGGTCTTTGAATAAAAGGGTAATGGGAATGAGAATGTCTTCTTTGAGGTCTTTAGCACAAATATAAACACATAAAATCGCCTTCGTAGAGGACTTTAAACAAGCAAACACAAGTAGGAATTTCCATTTAAAGGTCTTTTAAAACAACATTGCTCACCTAAAGTAGGGACTCCCAGTCATGCATCTCTACTTCTACTTCTCATTGCAAATAAATTGAAAGACAATGCGAGAATAAAATTGAGATTTGAGTGGTACCTAATGGAGAAGGTTAGTTGCCACTTCAATGCATGCAAAAAATCCTAAGAACACTTGCAGGAGCTTCATTCGATCCATTAAAAATATACGCAATAATTATAAGAAGCAAATAAAATGGAAACATCCAGGAGGTGCAATCTGCAGACCACAGTGCATAATCCAGCAATTCAGAATGAAGCACTAAGCCTAATTCAGAATGAATCCAATAGCCATTTTTATTCAGCTTCAATGTGCCAAAAAAGACATTGACACAGGCCTAAGGGGAAAGAGTAGTTTGGCCCACTCAACTCCATATTCAACCTTTTTTCAGCACCAATTTCCATTATATAAAAAAAACAAGAAATTATAAGAAAAAAATGCAGATAAGTCAAACGATGTAGTATTGGGGAATTATGGTTCATAAGAGTTTGTGACTCTTCACATTCACATGACCGAGTCTTCTTCCTCTTCTCCCACCAATGACGTTGTGAACTCATTTTCCGATCAATTCTCCACCGCAAATGCCATTCTCACATGCTAACCTCCGATTACGATCACAATAGCTCCCCGTATCTATTTCACTGTACCACACCTCTACCTCTTTTCTGCCAATTCTCTTCGGTCATCCCTGAATCTGACTCAAATTGGATCCTTAGAGATGTTGAAATGTGCAATTTCATGGAGATGGTGATGACTATACCTATCTTGCTTGGTGACAGAGAAGCTTCTGATTGCTAGGTATTTCTCTTTGTCACTTCTCGCGTCTTTCGTGCGTTCATTAATGTTTCTGCATTTTGATGCTACAATGCGTCATTATGCGAACCAAAAATTGTCGAAGTGTTTAATTGAGTGCATTCGTTGTTTACAGAGATGGTGAATCAATGAAGATGACGATATCACGTTGAAACAAATAACTATGCAGATATGAAGATAAAGTTTCAGTGATAATGCCGATGAAAGATGTTGAAGTCACGGTTGATGCAGTAGATTGAACATAGTGCAGATTCGACGAAGGTGTGATGCAGATTTGAGATTTTTGTTGGTGATGATGATGAATATTGAAGAGAGAAAGTGAGATTTTTTTGAAATGTCATCTTGGTGATTCTCCAAATGATGAATAATGATGAAGGAAGGAGAGAGAGTAGAGAGAAATGATTTTTCTGGTTTTTCTGATGGTGCCTCTTCCAAAATTGAAGAATGAATTGATTTCAGGTGATTTTTCTGTTATATAGTTGGTTAGAGATTAGAAATTTAGTTAGAGGTTGAATTGATCTGAACTGTTGATTTGAATTTCTATTAGAGATCTGGATGGTTGGTATTTACTCTGTTATGAGCTTACACCTCCTCTGAGTTTTTCTTTATTTGGTTTTTATATGCTCTTGATTTTGGACTTTTCTTTGAATCAGTTTTTGCTATGCATGTCATTTCTGGTTTAGCTGTGGATTTAATATTGAGAAGCAAACTGATTTTTACTCTTGATTTTCTAATGAACTGTTTTGGCATATATGTGATCTCATGATGTGCACAGGCTTCTATATTTCATGTAGGTTTTGTTTTGTCATGAATTCATAGAGTCATGATCGGGCCCTGAGTTGTCTGCAATAACAGTAGCATCATGGTTTTGGATGGAAATTATGGTGATGAATGAGCATATTATAGCACGGCTTTGGTAGAAAGCAAGCGAAGTACTCGAATATCGAATCGTATTGTGAACGGATGATTGAGAACAAGACTCGTGGATGGAAACTTGATTTCTTTAGCAAGATAAAGTTAGCTTAAAACATGAACTTTTTGTGTAATTTTTGTATGGTTTAGTTTTAGGTTTATGTAATTTTTGATCTAATGATAAAGCTGTAATGGAAATGTAATGGAATCAAATGATGTTGAATATATGAATGGTTTTTGAGTAACACTTGACCTCGAAGGAACTTGAATAAATCTTGACCAAAAATTGAACTTATGCAAACACTTGAATCAAATTCACATTGAATCGTCTTGCATTCTTAATGATCTCCCTATTAACATGTATTGCAAACAAAAGAGTAACAATGAGGAGAAACAGAATTTCCTTGGTCCAAATGAACTCACAAGTTCATCTCCCATGTCATGACTTACACTTGTACTTCAGTTCAACACAACAATCGTACCTTGAGAGATACTTAAAGGAGATAAGACTTGAGACTGGAAGAAATATGTTCAAGATGACTTTTTGAAGTGAAACCCTAATGACCACGAAGTACACCATATGATGACCTTGCTCAAAAACCCTAATTTCAAGAGACGAATAAGAGGAGTGTGATTCTCTTTAAAACACTTGCAAATTTTAATCTTCTGATGAACAAGTAATACAATTGCGATGTCTTGGGGTATGAGAAACCCTTGTAGTTTGAGTGACTCAAAGAGTGAGAGCATGAGACTCTTTTTGCACTGATTGTCAATACAACCCATCTTCCATAGCTTCTAGAAGATCATGAGAACCAAAGTACCTTAATCCCATAAAAATTCATGAATGTGTATGATGAAAAATAAGCCAATTAGGGTTAGAATGAAGAGGGAAAATTTTAGGGTGCAACAACCATATTTTCCCTTGTCGGAGGAGGGGGTTGTTCTCCATTGTTGTTTGGTGGATTAACCATTCTTCTAACGTACTTCCTTTTGGTATAGATTCACTAGTTCCGACTATTCTACCACTTCTTAATCTCATACAACAATGTTAGAGAAAAATTTGTATGAAGAAAAATGCATAAAAATTTCTAAAACACACAAAGTAGACACTGGGTCCCACCAGGTGCGCCAATTTGTTTACTGTGAAATTTGGTAAACAAGCGATAGTCTTCCAAAATCTAATTCCTTTGGTTACTTGCAGGATCGACTATATTGATCATTGGATGACAATGTATAGTTTTTGTTTTAGTTTCCTGGATATTACTCTCTTCGAAAGTAAAGGTGAATTTGAAGGTATTAATAAAACGATTTATGAAAATTAAAAGAAGATAAAGATGTTTCTACTGGAATTTAAAAGGAACGTAAATGACTTTCATGAAAATCAGCTGACATTGGAAGTAAATATGGTGCTTCATACGTACATTTCTCATAAACTTGTTTCTTGATAACACTTTGGTAGTTTGAGTAAATACGAGTAATTTCTACAATATTGAACACACATAATCGTAACACTAAAGACTCCTATTTATACTAATTCAAAATAAATTGTCTTCTCTTCTGAAGAAGACACGTTCTCGCTTGCATGCGTTCCACCATCAGCAGGTCTCCACGCGTCTCTTTTCAAAAAGAACGAATAAGTCGAAAATTCAGTTATCAACCTCATTTTAAATATCTCTGTCGACCCGCTTCGAAACATTTTAAAAAATGCTAAGTCTCGACCTTGTATCATTTCGCCAAGACTTCGGTTGAAATGTCTCCATTATTCTTGTCGAAAACGAACTTTGACTATCTCCAATGCTCTTCTCTAATTCTCTTCAAAAACTCTTGTCATTATTTAAACTAGAGCGTCGAATTTACAGCTAACAAAAGGGATGGAGGAAAAAGTTCCTCCAATAACACTTTTAGGGTGGAGATCGGAGAAGTACCCCCCGCCTCGCGAATTTCCTTACCAGTTCCATTTATTTAACTTTTATATTTTATATATTATATAATTATATAATTTTACATGTTTTTTATATAAAAAATTAAGATATTAGAAAATGAAGAATCATTGAAATATTATTTTATTTTTAAAAAATTAATTTATTAGAAAATAGAAAGTCATTAATGAATCATTTTATTTATTTTTTAAATTAATATATTAAAAAATAAAGAGTCATTAGTGGATAATTTTATTTTCTTGATTTTATAATATATTTGTTTCATTATCCAAGTACTCAATCTTAGAAAAATATAACTAATACATACAATACACACCGCTCTTCCTTTTCTTTTCTTAATTCTCTTTGTCTCCTCCATTTTTAATCACTTTTTTTCTCATCATTGTCATAATAATCACTCTCCATTGATCGTAAAATATAAAATTTATCTTAAAATTCATTTTTCGGGGATCTCGATAGAGATATGTGAGAATGGTGATGGGAAAAAGTGTTCCCATGTGACAGAGATCGGAGATAGGAATGGAAAAAAAATTGAAAGATAGGATAAAGAATAAAGAACTGGAAACTCTGAAGCATTGATATTTCTAAAATAGTAAAGTACCGATATCGTGTACGCACCCGTACCGAGTACACGTACTGTATTCGTGGTACTTCATCAATATACTAAATTTAAGTATTTTAATATCTTTATAATTGTATCTTAATATTATTTTTTATTTTTTAAAACTTTTATAGTGATATATTGTCATGAATCTAACAATTTGATTATATATTCATAGAATTTACAGAAAACTCTTATTTTTTATTAATGTCCTCGTATCTTGATTTTTTTTTAAATATAGTATTCCATATCAATACCAATATCCAAATCGAATACCGTACCCGTACCTATGCATCATAGATGAGAAAACATGCTTTAAATATTCTCAAACCCGTTGAAGTTCCTACTTTAAACCTTTGTCTACAACGTTGTAATTAGAATCAACCATAAAAACAAAATTGAATAAAATATTACTATATAGATATTTATGAAGACGATAATATGTATAGCGTATGTGATTCTGGTGCTAGCCGTGTGTTGTTATATGCTCAAAAATCAACATAGAATAAATGTACTGTAACATGAATGATTCCTTTAGATCTCATCATCGAATAGTTAGGTATACGGAGATAAGGTGTGTGGCCTCCTCGTGTTGTTAGATGGAGACTGTTGAAATGCATCCAACATTGTCTGTTTTCTGAATATAACGCTATGGACGAATTTGCAATCAACCGAAGCAGTACGCATATATTCCATCCATCTCTGCATGCATATTTAACCTTTCTTTTTTGAAAAGTAGTTCACCTTTTGTTAATTTTAGTGGAAGAATCTCATATTCGATAAAACTAATTTAAGAAATGAAAAATATGTGGAAAATGAAGAATAAATTATTTAGCTACCCGCAGTATTATTAATAAAACTTTAGTAGTGAAAAACCATTAAAAAAAGGCCCATTTTAAAGAAGTAACAATGAGATAATTGGACGGCGATCCTGTGATAGGTAAGCGCGGAAGACCACCGCAGAAACATGTGGTTCAAACGCCTCCGGCGAGCTTTAGAGTGTTCTCGTCAGCAACACAATCTCACGGGAAGGGTACCACCGCCACTTTCACTCCATTGATGTCCAACGATACCGCATCAGCTGAACCAGTGTTATCTTCGATTCTTGAGGAAGAGATAGAGGAGCAATAGGAGGACCAATCAGTTCCACCGCAATCCTGGGTGGACATAATCAAAGGTAATCGCTCTTCATCAAATGGTCTGAACATTGCCTATTCACCTCCCTCCATTGTTAATGGGGAAATTGAAGTTGTAATTGAGGAAGATGACATTACTTCAGAGGTGAAGTTCTAGGAGAATTCCTTGATTATGTATGTGCTAGGGCGCGATTTGAGCATGACAATAGTAAAGAAGTTCGTGATGCAGACTTGGGACTTTGCAGCTTTACCTGACCTATTCTACAACGAAGAAGGATATTTTATAATCAAGATAAAGTCTAAAGAGGATAAGGAGGTTGTGTTGAGGAAAGGCCCATACACTATTTTCAGACAGCATATGTTCCTGCTAGAGTGGAGACCACTATTCTCACTGGA